ACCTCTTCCTGAAAATGAATGTTAGAGTTGACAGAATCAGACTATAAACATTAAGAAAATCACCAAACTTTATCTGGAAAGCCTTCTCCAATAACTGACAAATTCTACAAAATAGAACAAGCATCCAGTTCTATCTGTACTATTTATATGGAGTAGTATTTGGCAAAGGAGGGATATATGTATTCATGGAGCATAAATGCTGCCAGGAACATGATTGTTTAATTATTATAGATGAAACATTTGGCAGCAAAGAACAAACGCAAGACATCATTCATAACTTAAAATGGAAAAAAAAGGTAAGTCAAATGTCTATAAAATGCACAAATAAGTTCCTGATTCTTTGAAAAATTCTATAATATGGACAAAACTGTACAACCAGGAAGGCTTTTCATTTGACTGAGTATTGATAACCTTCATAATGGATTAATACTATCTCTGCCAATGCTTAGAAAACATACTTCTTTTAGTGCATACTCTACATGTTGTCTTTCTTGCCAATTTAAAGAAAAAGCCTGTTTAAAAAAAAGCCTTGGCTATAAAAGCAATGTGTTGGAATGTGCTCCAATATTATTGACCTGTCCTCGTTTTTTTGGCAACTTAGCTGAAGTATTTTTGCCAAATTTTATGATTTTATATGATTTGAAGTAATAAAGCATGATGCAGCCCCAAAAGTGATGACCTTAGAGAATTTTTTCTCTTTAAAAATGCATCACTATAACTCTATAACAAATCTTAACTATGAAACTATTTTGATTTTCCCAGCTGTTTTTGCAATTTAAGCATATTTTGAGACATGTTTTTTCCCATCTGTGCTTTCATTTTTATATTTATTTTGCTCAAGAATACATGCCAGCCAAATTCTTACACAAGGGACAGAATGTTTAATAAAAAATCCCAGGAAGAATCACTTAAATACTGCCAACTAACTATTCCTTCTTTCAAATAGTCCCTCTCCCTTGTATTGTCTTTAAGATAGGATTCATTGATTGACTTCCTTTAAAGCAAACTTTCTGAAAGAAGATGCATCACTAACAGTCAGCTATTATGTTTTAACATTTATTTTGTTCAAAATAATAATGTAATCATGGTTAATAAAATTCTTATAGTATTATTCAAATATTATTTGAATTAAAGAGATGAAACCATAGCTAGCACTATGGCAAGGGAGAAATCTGGGAAATAATCCCTGTTTCACCTTCCAGATTTGAGCAAAATAGTGAAGAAGACAGACATGCTGTTCAAGCTACCCAGCCTCCTGACTGATGGGTGGGGACTGAGGCATTCATTCCTCTGTCCTTCCCTCTTTTAAACTTCTTTTTTACCGCCTGTGGGAACTGGAGCCCTTGTTATAAAAGTTCTTCCACCACTCTCAGCAAAACCCAAGGGCCTTGCTTGCTGGGCCTTGCAGTGAGAACATGTTCTGCTGTCATTAATGTCAGTGGGAGATGGTGGGGCATTTTGGATGAAAGTCATTCTTTTATTCCTCTTTGAAGAAAGATTAAAGTAAGCCACTAAGAAAAAGTTAGGATGTTGTAGTGGTAAAAAGTGCTACTTTCTACAGTTTTGCATTGTATGATTAAGAGAGAGGGGGAAATAAGCAGAGAATGATCAGTGCGTATGTTGGTTCAGGTCAGAAAAAGAGATTTTATGATATGTACATGCAGAGAATATACAGAAGTGCAAGAGGATTAGTGAGTATGAAGGAAAAAAGGAGAAGTGTTTTATGTAATCATGCTTTGTAGGATTTTTAGGGAAAAAAACCACAAGAAGCTCCAAAGCCACTTAATAGGTCATTATAATTTTGATGCTTCTTGTTGCTCCAAATTAGAATAAATGAGTCAGATGATGAAACTGGCTTTAAATCTTAAATCCCTTTTGGTGTTCGCATTTCATGCTTTCAAGTAAGCACAGATACCATATTCCCTAAATTACATATTTAACATTTTTTAAGTTGAAAAACAGATGTGAAGACAAACTTAAAACTGTATTCAAGAGAATACTTAAGTGATTTAGAAATCGCCACATAAATGAGAAATGATTTAAAAGAGATCAGATACTTGGACATATGCTTACACTTACAGATATTCAAATAAGAGAAATTATGAAAATGCAGATATGTGTGTCCAAACAAATCTGCTTTCCAAGGTTACAAGTACAGTGGCAAGGGGTATAGAACTCTGGCAACCAGAACCACCAGATGCCTTAAAGTGTAATCATGGGTTTTGCATACAGTATTCAGAGCAACCTTACATCTGTGTGTTTGAACTGGGCAATTGCCTAAGCTTACCATAAAATGTTTACCTTAACCTTTAAGCCCAGAATTAACTCATTTTCTAGTAGTGTGTTTCGGAATAACTCAGTGATAACAATTTCAAAGAAGTCATGCAGTTCTGTAATCCTGTATGTAGAAATTACTTTGCTCAGATTCTCATTCTCCTCTCTCTTTGGTGAACAAAGAACCTTGAAGAATGAGGTTAAATGTCCACAATTATTTAATGAAAAAATCAAAGCTCATGAATAATCTTTATTTGCTGATCAATTTATTATAGTCTTCCTTTATATTTTGGGCCTTTTTTTCTAAATTAAAGATGATGCAATATTTTCAATGCATTGAGTCTGTCAGATGAAACCATCTCCTTGATCTTGATAAAGGTATTTCCATACTTAACTGTGATACTGAGGCAAATAAAATGTATTCTGGAGATCTCACTTCATAGTCTTTTAACAGAGCTACTTTTGAGCAAAATTTTTTTCAATGTTATCTATAATGATGTCCCATCTTTCAGATTCAGTTGCTAAATTTAAGTTGGACTCAAATAATTTAATTTCCAGACGTCTATTAGTTGTTCTCTGTCTTCATCTTACTTTAGTGAAAAATTACTTATTTTTATCTATATAAGTCTTCAGAATTTTGCAGTCTTTCAGAATTTAGTCCTTTGACTGTGGTGCACAAGTACCAATTTGCATTGCTTTTTAAAATAAATTATCACTATACTCTGACATCTCATAGTCTAATGATCAAGGACCAAAGATATCGTACTATTACTACTCAGTTAGAAGGCACTGATCGTTGTGCAACTTAAAAGAAAAAGCTAAAGAGGTCACCAAATAATTAAAAAAATTCCAACATGTTTGGTCAAATTAGATTTCTGTCTGGGTGGAGAAGCTTTTGAATATGAGGAAGAGACTGGAGCAAAAGGTAACACTCAAGAATCAACCATGTGAATAGTGAACAACTCTACCATAGTATGATGGCAATTGAAGATACCCATGTTAAATTATTATACCAAAACTCAGTTGATTGTATGCTTACTTGTAGTATTCAAAAAGATCATTATGCAAAGAGCATGTAAAGGCTGCCTAAAGACTGGTTTTAAGTCTTTGTGGTACACTTGAGAAGTAAGTATGTTTATGGAGCAGAACAGTAGATGCCAGGTCAGAAATCTCCCTGTTGTGCATTGCAGTTCACCAGCTGCATGGGAACACTGAAGTGAACAAACACATACTGCTTTGACAGTTTGGTCACACTGGGCATCAAGAAATAATGGTCACTTCAAATGTAAGAATATACTACCAGTTTTAGAGGTTGATTTCTTAATATACCTGGTTTTCTTCATTTGCCAGCTTTAAAAAGCAGCTGTGAAGTAAGAAAAATTAAAAGTGAAGCAAGAAAACAAGAAAGCCCTTGTTCAAGTAATATTTAAAGGGGGAACCTTAAATATTCAAAGCTGATAGATCTGCCCATTGATCTTTAGCTGGTTGGAAGTGGAATGGTTATAGCTGAACAGTGGCTTATAGAATATTAAATCACAAGATGCTTTTTCCTCGCTGATCTGAAAAGTAGCCACAAAATAAAGTCCTTACTACAAGCCATCATTAATATCAACATAAGACTATCAAAATAATATTTTTTTAAAAAATCAAGATATCAACCTGTTTTACCATTTCACTTAGATTAGGAATTGGTAATGTATTACCATTTGTGCTTAATGACACAAAATATTTTTTATTAGTTAGTATCCTCTTTGTAGGTAGAGCACTTAGCACAAGATTTATTATGATTCTTTTAATAGAACAGTGCTGGAGTGAAGTAGGAGTTTGATTCTAGAAATTTCCTCAGTGAATGGAAAAAAATGAAGTCTTGTGGCCTGGACTTTTATGAATTCAAACATAAGCAATGATACATTAAAGAAATATGAAACATTTGCAATTACTGACTGAGAAATAAAGAAGTGTGAAGAAAAAACAAACTGCTTTTTCATAATCCAAACAGGTAGAAAGGAAGAATTACACAAAAGGCTACTTTAATTTTCTCCTTGCTACTTATTTGCTCCTTACTTTCCTTGAAAGCAGGGTACTCTGTTATAAAATGACTACTAAAAAAGCCTTATTATTTTAGACAGAAATTACTTCAAGTCTAGTATTTTAAGCAATTTTTGTATTCTTTAATATTAAGCACTTAAAGTATTTATAGTTTTTTCTACTGCTTTGTGTCTTTATTTGAAATTCTCTCTGATAAAAATGTACACATAACAGTGTTAACTGACATCTGACCTCTTCTCTGACTTCTAGTCATGTGATGAAAAATGCTTTTAAAATAGTTAAGTGTAAATACAGGAAGATGACTAAACTCCTAAACTTTTATCTTCTAAAAAACTCCCATTGCTGCCAAAGCTGGTGAAGCTCCTCTGGTGGTTACAATGGTGGGAGCACTAGGGCAGAAAGTCTTCCAAGTGCCTGCAAGCACTTTCATCACTGTGCCTACCACCTAACTCCTGTAAATCTCTGTTCCTGCCTTTAGAAAATGAGTGGCTACACATTCCTTGTCACATTTGGTCTTCCTCTCACAAAGCTTAACGTTGAGAAACTTAACATAAATACATAACAGACAAGGACAAGGACCAAATTTGTTTAGCAAGGCTGCCAAGAGGCTTACTGTACTACCCCCTTTCCAACATTTAAAGAATGCAACTATCTTCTCTCTTTCCTTTCCCATGTAGCTTGAGAATTACATTCAAGACAGTATGAAGAAAGAAATGGTAGAGATCCAGCAAACTGCAGTACAGAACCAGACTGCAGTAATGATTGAAATAGGCACAAACTTGCTAAATCAAACAGCTGAACAGACCCGCAAATTAACAGATGTTGAAGCACAAGTAAGTAATGAATTTCAACCTCAAAATGCTTCTGCTTCCCAAATACTACAGCTACACATTTAACACTGTTTAGTGTTACACACTTCTGCTGAACAATTAGAAGTCAATCGTTATGACCCACAGTTCTACCCCACTTAAGGAAACATTCATATTTGATAACGAATAGTTCCATCTCAAGCCCAGTGTTGTCACTTGAGTGATTTTCATTACAGTATTATTTTAAGTCTAGAAAGACAATTGTTAAATTAATCTTTAAAGAGAATGTATTTAAAACTACTATACTATATCCAGGTATCAGTTGGGTCCTAGTATGCTTTATATGACCCTCTCATTACTAATCTAAGCTAAACGAGTCTCTTCAAACTGTCTTTGTTCCATTTACCAGCTTAATTGCTTTTTTTTAAACAGAATCTTTCCTTTTTTATTTTTTTAACTTATCAAGAGAACTATGTCTTTTTAATTAATGTTTTCACAGATAACTAAATGGATTAACAGTTCATTTCCAGTACAATGCACTGTGTTATGGTTAAAAAAGGGATACCTAAACAAATCTGAGATTAATAAAAAATAAATTAGGAGACTGCTCAAAAAGTATATTCACACAGAAGTAAACTTGTCTACTGTACATTTGTACATTTAACTTCAAACAAAGACAAATGGGTTCTATTTGAAAAGCATTAAGTACAAAAAGACATTGTGTTAAACAGAATGCAGATACTAGTAGAAGGCCAAGTCCAATCCATGTAGAGTGGTATGCATTTGTAGTTTTGCAGACATGGTAGGAAGAGGCAGATCTATAATTGCCAAAACAAATAATGGATATATCATGCAGCACATAACATTTTGTATAATATAAAAAGTATGCAAAGTCTAAAATCCTTGTTAGACATTTTACTTATCTGTAGAATTCATCCAATGAGATAAATTACATTTTTTAACCTAAATCAAGACTTTGTGAACTCTTTGATAAACTGGTAATACATAGCTCATAGGCATACTGAGTTCAACTTTCATTGTATTATTCAGGAGCCTAACATTTTGCACATGTTGAGAGAATTTATTTATTAATTCACAGTAACGTCTTTATGGAAATTACTCAATTATTTTCTGCTTAGAGGAAGAAAATCATCACTGTAACTTTCCTTCTCTGCTTGAAATTACTGGTGACTGGGTTAAGGGCTTAATTAGCAACATAAGGAAATTAACCAAACAATTGCTCTCTCAAGGACATTTACTTTTGGCAATAGTTTTCAATTACACTTAAGTGTGAAATCATGTCCTGAATGACTGTTTAACATGAAGGACATGAGTAATCAATTCTTCCTGTCAAGGAAAGCCAGATTCTTTTGAATTAAAAAAAGCTATTCTAAAACAATGAGAAAATATTTCTAGAAAACTTGCCTCAAAGTAAAGCAATACAAACTATAGGGTATCTTACATGTTTCCTAATACCTGCATTTCTTCATTTAAAGATGCAAATAAATGCATTTACACCATGCATAGAGAAAAGGTGATATTAAATTAAAAGAATGAATCTACTAAAGTTCACATGATAAACACTTCAAAATATAATTTGTGATTGAGTAAAATAGCTAGGAGAGAACTACCAAAGGGTTTCAAGACTGTGCCAAGATTTCATTGAGTAAGAGACTTAGTTTCAACACCAGATGGGGAAAACAATTCAACTTATTCTTTGAGCCACAACCATAATAGTTCCAGTAATGAAATAAGAATTATCATAACAGAGGGAAAGGTATAACAACAAAGCTAAAGTACACAGTAACTCTCATCAGAAACATAGCATACTACTGAAATATTCCAAATAATATACGATAGTGTGACAACAAAATTAGTGCAACTCTGTATTCTTCTTCATTCTGATTCTATGAACATTTGTGCCTAAATTAAGTGTTGAAAAATACTTTTTTAATCATAGGTCTACATAGAGATTTGCATGATTTCACATATTATTTGCACAATAAATAAAATTACCATTTATTTAAAAGAAGTATCTTTTAAAATAAGTAATTTTTTTGTAAATTTTTTTAGGTATTAAACCAGACAACCCGACTTGAACTTCAGCTTTTGGAACACTCTCTTTCAACAAACAAACTAGAAAGACAGATTTCAGATCAAACCAATGAGATAACTAAATTACAAGAAAAAAACAGGTAAGTTTGCACAGCCCAACAAAACGCTGTTCCATGAAGTGCCCTTCTAATAGTTTTAGAAACAAATGTACTCAAGCAGGAAAATAAAGGTTTGTACACAAGCTTTCCAAACTTATTACAAAGTGTTACCCATAGTTGTTACAAAGGTCACATATTACTTAAAGCCTAGGAGATTGATGCAGGTTTATTCTTGCATTCTATTTATATATTGTTCTTCACTATTTAAAATTGTCTTTTATATGAGGAACTTAAGGCTAAAACTGAAACAGTACTTCAATTGCACCCAATTTATATTTTTCTTTAGATTTATCCAGATGAATTTGATGTAACCTGATTCAAAGTACTTGAAAGTAAACACGTCTCTAAAATTTTATTTCCATGTAGTACACAATGATCCTAATGATTAACCAGGTCATTGCTACAATTTTTATCTAATGTAGTGAGAAAAATAAACCCCTAATCATATTCAGTGTTCCTTAAGAGTCAGTGTTTTGAAATTGACCAATATCCAACTATTACTCCTGTCCTTTTCTGTACTTGGCTGTGTTCCAAAGGCTCATACCTTTTTTCAGCTAGTTTCATTTCCATATCACCGTGGTCTTATTTTACTTTTGGCAATAAATGGTTTACAGAGGAATCTAAAAGCAGCAATAACAGTAAGTTTTCTCCTTCAAAGCAATGTTTTTCAATGAGAACCATATGTGCAAAGTACTTTTTCTTTGAAAGAATTAGCTTAAGAAACCCAGGAGACGTGTTTTGACATTTTTGTTCACTACTCTACTACATTTATATATGTTCCCTAAAGGTTTTATCTACCAACTTAAGAAAAACAAGCATCCTTATCAAATGGAAAGCAGAGGAAACAGTGATTTTTAAAAGGTCACTTTTTTTGGTGTTGAACTCAGCAGACTTTAGGTTACCCTTGTAACATCCACATAAAACACAAAAGCATTGTTTCTCACCTAACAAAATACAATCTGCATTGAACTAATCTGCTTGAAACATAATTATATATAAGGTTCAGGATTTTTTTTTTTTCAGTAACAGCAGTAGATTTTAGGTGAATTTCTCTCTTCTGACTATGCATCTTTTAACATCAGCTTTCTCAGAGTCTATATCAGAACAATTAGCAGTGAAATAATGTTCCTAGCCAGTTCCCCAATAATACCAGCTCCAAAACCGGAGAAGGATAATCCACCTTCAAATAGTTATTTGCACTTTTCCCTGTCTTAATGCCATAACATTTATATTAAATATGTATTTTATTATAGGGTATTTGAAATGTTCAGTTACCATCTTTAAATAAGTTTCATCTTTTAACAGGGTAAACCTATGAAAGCTTAGTCACTCCACCTTTTCTTTAATAATGTTGAATTATCAAACACAATTATTACACTTTTAAAACCTGCAATACAGACTGTAGTAGATAATATTGTTTATTAGTGCATCTATATAATAAATTAAAGCATATGTATCAAAACTAAACTTTCATTTAGTTGTCTATTGCTTGGATAGCATCAGAGAATGAAGTTGAGTGTTTATGGAGAAAGAAACTTATACAACATGCTTGATTCTCTTGACATCATCTCAAAATTGTTTCTGGAGAGCCTAATTATAATCTTTTATTTAGCTTTTTAGAAAAAAGAGTTCTTGAAATGGAAGACAAACACATGCTTCAGCTGAAGTCAATAAAAGATGAAAAAGATCAGCTTCAAGTCCTAGTAACCAGACAGAACTCTATTATAGAAGAACTAGAAAAACAGTTAGTTACAGCTACAGTAAACAACTCAGTTCTGCAAAAACAGCAACATGATCTGATGGAGACGGTTCATAGCTTGCTTACTATGATATCAACACCAAACTGTAAGTTAAAGCAAACATGCTTATATAATTTCAGTGCTATTTCCTAATTTGTGTACAATGGTACCTATAGTCCTACAACTAGTTCTGATACACTTCTGCTTTTCAAAAGTCTGTATTTTTTGCCTTAAATTCGGCATCTGAATTAATTAACCTACTTTTTAGAGGGTGGGAGAAACAACCACATTCATATGTTTTCTTTTCAACATTTTGTTTATCTTCTCTGGTTTGTTCATCTTCTTTACCAATTCTTCAGTGGTTCAACAAAATGTAGCTATGCCAAGTATCATTCATCTCACATGGCATTCACATGTGTAGCAGTATACACTCCCTTGGCCATGTATCTTTGTGAGACTGCATATCGTAGGCCTGCAACTTTTCTTCCTGGCTCACAGATACTGTTTCTGCCACCTCTCATTGCTTCATGTACATGGAGTTTATCAAAGAAAGGATCAATTATAGTGGCTACCAAAGGCAAAGGAATAAGCACAGGCATGAATTAGCCCCCAAAACCAGAAAGCACCAGGCCAGGGCAGCAGATACTCCCACAAGTTCTTCACCAAGGTATCCTTGTTCATCCTAAAAATCACTCAGCCTAGCAAACTTTATAGGCAATAATCTCACCCCTAAATGCCTGACAAACCTGGAACAAATCAGCATAGCTTCCAGATTTATGCAGATTAATGTGCTCCATAAAAAACCCACACAAACCATAAACTGAAAGTTATGGCTACATAGGATTTAAACATTCAGTGCCTTGAGTTTCATGTCTGATATGGAACTTGGACAGATTAAGAATCTGTTCTAAAAGATTGCAGAATCTGGCACAGTTGCCTGTAAAGTTCTCAGAGCTGAAAATACACAAGCATACAGTACCCCTAAAGAAAATATTTAAAATTAAATACTGGGAAAAAATGTTAAAAGTTATTATTAGAACTTAAAAGACATTATAGGTGATCTATGATACATTACTGTAAGGTGGATGACAGAAAAAGAAAAGGGAGTTTGGAAGTCCTCACTTTAAGTACTGTCCTATATGTTATTATCATAACATAGGTTTTTCTAAACAAAGTAAATTCCAGGGGTTTTTTTCTTAATAACTGACGCTATTCCCTTAAATACCAAGGCTGTACATGTTCCTGCTGATGTTATCTGCTATGCTAGTGCACAAATAAGTAAACAAGTCAAAGTCATGTTGGCTACAGCACCATTAAACCCAGAGTGGAAAAAATAATGAGTGTTTGCCAAAAAGACAAAATTAGCAGGGAAAGCTTCTAAGACAGTATGCAAACAATAGAGTGTGGAAAAGCAATTAAAACACTGAATGTGTTATTTTTCTATTTAAGGCAAAGCACTTAAACAGGTAAATAATGAATAACCAAGCTAAAAAGAACATAATAACCAACTGTAATATAAGCACGTATTTATATGGCACCTAAACCTTTGTAGTAACTGACTGTGATTGTTAGATTAAATTAAAAGGGAAAATACACAGAACCAACCCCAAAAGGATCAAATATGAAATATCAGTCAGCAGGCAAAATGCCAGGAAATTCCAACCTCCATAGTTAATAAAGAACTGAACAAAAAGATGAGCCTTAGATTATTCTGTTGAATAAGTAGGCTTAGACATATGAAAATGTATTTTTTACACAAATGAATTCCAGAAGGTATGTCTTTAGTGAGTTGGGCTGAGCTACCAAGCTTCTGCTAGGTACATACAAAGTTGTTCCTGCTCAGCACAGTGGCAAAAAAAAAAAAAAAAGCTTTAAACTTTTTAAGGGTAGTTCCACCAGCCTGATGCATTATAAAAGGTTTCATAACTTACTTCACAATATAAGAGTACTGGCCAAAAGTCATTATTAACATAATCACTTGCTACTTAGATATGTATAAAATAGTAGTTAATGCATGCATAGGTTGTAATGCATGTAGAAGTCCAGCCAGGACAATGAGTGGAAGCAGAAACTGTTCAACTAAATGAGATCCAGTATCTTGACTTTTCTCATTCAACATACCAAGTGTTGGAACTTTTCAACCTATCCAACAACCACAGTCCTATCAGAATAATGTCTCTAAATGATACAAAGTAACAACACACATAATAAATACCTTGATCTGTCATTTCTTTCAGGACCAAACATACTTTTTTGAACTGCTTTAAGCCAATTACACCATAAATTGATTCTTAGTAACTTTCATTCATCTCCTCTTAATGCTTTCAATTTCTATTGTATTTTCTACAGCTAAGAACAACTTCATAGCCAAAGAAGAACAAATCAGCTTCAAAGACTGTGCTGAAGCTTTCAAATCTGGACTGACAACAAGTGGAATCTACACTTTAACAGTTTCAAACACTGCACAAGAGAAGAAGGTAGTATGTCTACAAAGAGCTACCTAGGCATACTGCATGTTAAAGGTTATTTGATCTGGCAAATATGATATTTTAAAGGGTAGTTAATTGATAAGTTTACTATTTATCAATTTTTTTTGTAAGTATTTCATCACTCCTAGATCTGAGTATCTCACAGGAAGAAAAAAAGTCCTTCAGGTGAAATCTTGGCTCAGTTGAAATAAATAACATTTTGTTGTTTGTTTCACCGGGCCAGAATTTCATTCTTTTTTCCACATAATTAATGTAATTAAATTAATAAGGAGCTGTAATTTCTTCATAAAATCTGTGACTCCAACAGAGTTGCTCTGCATGATCTGCAGACTCCTGTCTCCTTTAAGTTCTTAGTTCCTTCATATGCCCAAGGCTCTTCAGGTGGCAAAAGGAGTTAAAGACAGGGGCATGGAAGATTACTCATGGATTTATAGAAATGAAAGCAATCTAGTAGTACTGGACTCATGTAGGGGTTTCAGTTCTTTGTATCACAGAATTTTAAGGACATTTGTTTAACAATTAGATTAACTATTAGACACTGTCTAACAGAGAGGACTTCTCTGGAAAATAGTGCTCTGGAAAATACTACTACTAATTAATAGAAAAGGTGAGTTCGCAGGTGTTTCATTAGATCAGTTTAAAACCCTCTATGGATATTTTTTCCCCAATGTGTTTACTGAAATGAACTTCAATATCAGTTTAAATTAAAGCAGTATGCCATACCTCTGTAGAAGAGACCTTGGATTATACACTGGATGCCTGACAGAGATGCTCCATCTACTGAAGTAAATAAAATGATAAAGCTTCAGACAGTATAATTTAGTACAAATAATCAATGGAATTTGAAAGGGAGAAAAGTCCCAGGTGGACTTTGAGGATAAAGAACTAAAAACCTGGGGCAAGCATTTGGAGGAGTGGGGGCTCACATGATGAAGGCACAGCAGGCTGAGGAGGCTAAGGGACATATGAATATTAAAAAAATGCTTAATATATTTCTTAGACAAACAATAAATAATTTTATGATGTTTTTATTTTCTAATTTCTACTGTAGATATTTCCTTTACACAAAAAAAAATAAATATTTTACAGAATTCCTAAGGCTGTACTTCACTGCATCAGAAAAATTAACAGAAAATGTAAAAATGCAGTGGAAAAAGAGGTGCAATATGGAAAAGGAGTTGGTAAAGCTCTGACAGAGAAAGCATTTTTTTCCCAAGCAAAAGTTTAGAAATAAAGTTCATCAGTGACTAGCCTTTGAAGTACCAGAACTTCATTTAGCCCAAGCCAGACTGAAATCTTTACACTTACAAATGTCTCAGCTAAAAGAAATAAGCAATTTGTTTTAATTTTTAATAAAAAATACTATAGATAAAACCTGTAATTTTTTGTAGATACATTTAGAGGAATTTTTTGCAGTCTGTTTCACTTGGGGAAAAAAAAAAGCTGGTTTTCCTTTGGAATAATCTGGACTAAATATATCCATTTCACAAGAAAATTAGTTACATAAGATGCAATGAAGTGTTTTACATGAAGCTGAATGGCATTTAAATAGCATAGATATCTAAAATCACAATTTTTAACGCTAAAGGAGATGAAAGCTCCTGCATCTCTAAAGTAATAGAATGCAGCAGTCCTTGTTAGATGACTCAGGAAGGTTTACATTCCTTGGATCTCTCACTATGACTTGTCTCAAGCTTATATTTTTGGTTTTAATTTTACTGTCAAATACAGTATAAAAAGCATGCATACTTTCTAAGTTCATGACATATTACAGAATAAAAATTTGTCATAAACTTTTAACACTGCATTTTCAAAAGTACAAAACTACAAATTTCATAGACTATAAAATACTAAATGCTTTACATTTGAATATGGAGGCTTAAAATACTTAATGAAAATACCCACTTTGGTAATATACTAGGTTAAAAAGGTAGTTCAAATGTAATAATTTCCCTTAGTATTAAATCAGTCAATAATATTAAAGAATTAAAATCTTAGTCTGTCCATTTCAGATAGAAAAAGACAGGGAAGGTTTGACTTACCATATGACATTGAAAATAAGAGACTAAAAAGTTTTAACCTGATGCTGATTTTTTATACAAATATAAATGCATAAGAGGAGTTGTCAAGGGAAGTGAAGGTTAGGGACAATCAACACGTTACACTATTTTCAACTGTTTATGATGTGGCTAGCTACTCAGACCAGGAAACAGAGTGACCTTTTTTATTTGCCAAAAGTGCTGCACTGCTGTTTATGTTTTCGTCTTTTCCTCTTGTAACACCTTCTGACCTCCCAGCAGGCTTATAAACAACTTCAGTGTAATCTGTAACTGATCCCACGTTACTAATTTGTCTCCCATCATAATCCAAAACTAAGGAATTGCATATGACAACTGAGAGGAAAACAAATATTCAATTCCATTAATATTTTCAAACTTTCCTGTTCTGCACCAGGACAAAAGCTAAGTCCTTTTAGAAACGCTGAGGAAAACACCAAAGGACTGCTGACACAAGGAAAAACGGCAGAGGCAAAACTATGGAAAGTCAATAGTTTTATGCTTACAGCAACCTCATGAACCAATTAGACTGTAGTTGTTACCTAGTCACATTTCTAGGAGATAGAGATAGCAGAATACAAAAATCATTGGACATAATGAGTCAGAAGACATTCTATGTCACTGGACATTATATGTCTTATTATGTCACTAGACATAATTACTTAAGTGTTCAGACAACAGCTGAAAGTGATGCACAGGGTCACTGCAAAGATGTGGCAACTGCACTTGCTTTGCTATAAAAACTGCAGTGGCTCTTCATCCTGATAACTCAGCCTGAGCCTTACCATTTACAAAGTAGGTCTGAAAACACTTATATCCAAATACCCTCTTACAGTGCTACAGCTGCTAGAACTGTAAGTACTGAAGCAGTTCACAAGATACATCAAACACTCCCTGATCTAATTTGTTGTAACTTGAGAGGCTAATCTCTTTATTCTTTTTGGCATTTGTTTGAAGACTCCTGCTGCCTGCCTAATCTTGGTATCTATTTTTACTAGTTTTATAAAACGTTACATATCTTTCTTTGAATATAAAACCTAGAATAGGTTGAAAGATCATAAAAGTTCTATTCTAGTAATGGGTGTTAGGAGAAACACTTAGAGTTGACTGACATTAAATTTTTGGTGTGGAAAAATTACACTCCCAAATCTATGTAAACTTTTAAAAATTGTTACTGGTAAGAAAAATCAACATGAGGTTTTTATGGTCATCTCTTCTTCAATTTCTCATTATCTTTTTCAGTTCCTAGCATGTTGCTTTTTCCTTTGGGATCTAATTTGCTGTACTCCAGCATTTATCTCAAATCATCTATAGAATCTATTAAAGCTAGTTGTTTTACCATTCACTTAAAAAAAATGGATATTGCCTGTGACAGGAATATTTTATGATAGACATTCACAGTCATTCACTATTTATATATTAAATTATTTCATTATAACAAAATAAAGTGCTATTTAAAGCATTGATTTTTTTCAAAGTATTAATTCCAACTAAATTGAAATTTAGATGATAGGTGTAAAGGAAATTGCACGTAACATTCAAAACCATCAATTAACATCTACAATAGCAATATCAGACTGAACCCATCACTCAAGTAAATTAATACATGGCCTCCCACTGTACACAGTTAAAAACAACATATTTCAGAGAAGGGTGAAACAGTTCTATTTTCTTGCTTCTACAACCAGTGATATTTGATCATTGTTAAATCAGCTTTTTAACTAGTATTGATGCTTAAAAAAAGTATTTGCATCTGCTTTAGCCCATTCCTAGTATCCCTCTTCATAGCCCCCTGTGGAAATTAGTTTCCACATATACATTACATCATGAGTTAGCCTTCTAAAACAGACTGATCTTCTCTTACAATACCTCCTCTTCAGCTAGACTTTGAGGTGTAAGGAATTGCATACATCAGTATAAACTGAGGTTGCTGCTTTCAATTAAATTCTAATCACTAGACAAACTTTAAAAAGTAATCCCTTATCCAACTCTTTTCCTTACTTATTTTATCTTCCCTAAAAATCATCTACTGAATGTCTTGTGATTCTCTGATGTTGAAGAGTTTGCTGCAAGCTGAATGTACAGTATCTGCTTTGGATTTCCAATGAGCAACAGTCTGTTGAAACACTAATATATTTGATATTTGCAGCTGTAAGGATTTTTTTTTTCCTTTCAAAGGTCTGACACCCTTCAACATTATCTATGACACTGCTTGAACTGTAAATACTCTGATTTATATAGAGATGTGAGTGTATAACATACGTAAAATACACATACCCTAAAAGAGCCAACTATATTGAAAACTTAGTAAGGAGCACACTTTACTTCCCAAAATGACATACCTAACCACTACCAAAGCACAGAAGGAAACTGGCTTCTCTGAAGTCATACTTTTTCAATGAATTTCCAGGATGTCTAACAGTTCAAAGAGCTCAAATCTGATAACTGCTAACACTGATAAGACAGTCTCCCATAGAAGAGGATGAAAAAGACATTACAGCTTCAGTGTTACTCAGTCATGATTTGGGGCATTTATAGGCATAGTGACAAGCAGCAGTGAGGCAAGAAGAAAGACTACTGAGAGGACTGTTAAATAAAGAAGGAAACATCCAAATTCATAATTAAATACTTGCCTAGTGTATTTTAAAATTATTTATTTAATTACTCTACAGATGAAATATCCTAGCTAAGTGTAGTAAGTCAGCTCTTGCCTATACTACTATAATTGGGAAGACACCACTTATTGGATGAAAGATCTAGAATACAGATTAGAAGTTAATGTAGTTTAATACTCAAACTGGAATTCAAAAATTTTCAAAGATGTGAAGTGATTTTGAAGAAGGCTTTGAACTTCAATATCTTGGCAGAAAGTGGTAAAAAAAATTTAAACGTCCAAAAGAGAAAATATTAACTGAGAATTCTTCAAACAGGAATACTTGTTCAAGAAACTCAATATCTTTCTTAAAGATAGTATTGGTACTAACATGCAATTTAAAGGGATACTGACTTCAGTTTGACTTTCACTGTACTGTCATACACCAGGTTAGCTCCACTGACTTCACTCATCTAGTTATAAGTTCTGTTAGTTTTGGAAAAGCAGAATTAGATGCAACAATTTGAGATCCTTTCTCAGGAAAATTTGTACTAGATATTCTCATATTAAAAAACAATTATTATTAATTTATCCCCTACTACTCCCAAACATCACTCCAAAATTCCAATTAATTTTCAAAAGACTTTTTTCCCGTCAGCATTTCCCAAGTATATCAGCATTTTCAGTAATACCTTTCACATCTGACACTGAAGTGATTTAATCTGGGAGACTGATTGAACAAGTCACCTATAAACTTGGATTTTACTGTGCCAGGGATACACTTATTGGGTATGCTAAAACTGAGTTCAGTGAACTGTTTCTTATGTATCAGTCTTTTCAAATTTTTAGGAATAACTTAGTAAATTCAAAGGTGATTTATGAACATTTGGAAACATCTTATAGGTGTTACTTTTTGTTCAAGCATAGAAGATGTGCATCGCAGTCTGTATAATAACATGGCTTTAAGACACAGCTTTCAGATAATACACTTAGATTTAAGTTTGGGGTCAGACCACTTGCAAAGGCACTGAACAATGATAAAAAAAATTGTTTCAGTTTGTTCATTGCCTGAATTTAACAGTATCTATACTCTGACAAGTCATAGGAAAGCTGAATGTATCTCACAAAAGAGATGGAGAAGTGAAAAATGTAATTTGTTAAGGTGTTCTGTTAAGTATGATATGTACTGAGCAATCACATTTATTTGTGGACAACCACAACTAATTTGTATGAAAGCTATGAAAACTTGCATTTTTAGGTTAACTCATGTTTTGCACACGATTTGCCACTATACAGAATGATGCAAATTACATGATTTCTGGTTTTGTTTTGCTGTGACTGCATGCACTTAGGCTGTTACATGCTTACTCTGGTAGGTCTACTGTGACATGGAAACTGGTGGAGGAGGTTGGACAGTTATTCAGAAACGAGAAGATGGCAGTGTGGACTTCCACCGGACATGGAAGGAGTACAAGATGGTAAACAGTGCTCTCTGAAGCCTGAATATCAGCTTTTATTATTTGAAATCTAATATGCTAAAGTTATATTTATAGCATCTTTAGAATGTAAGCAACTTTAAAAAGTTGTCTTTGTCCTCAGATTCTCATTTTGAAAATGTCAAAGTAGTATAAGTTGTTTGCCTAAGCAGACTTGCAAGTGTGATGTTTGTTTTTAAAGAGAAACCTTACTTTTTTTTAATCAACTGTTCCATCATATGTCTACATTTTTTGAGATGTTTATATTTGTGTTTCTAGTGGCAACAGTAGGAACTGCTCCAAGTCTACTAAGTAATATTGATTCACTGTTTCAGATTCCTGAGCTTATCTTTGCTGAAATCAACTTTTTGAAACATTATGGATCAATAATCCCCATGGATACAGTAAAATTCTTAATTGACAGGCTGAAAACTATTAAACCTAAAAACTGATAAAGTGATCATTTCAAACTGGAAGGAGAAAAACCTACCCTAACAAAGCTATTTAAATATACAACTTGAATTACAGGCTCAACTGACTAATCAGAAGCGATATGTTCTTAAAATACAACTGAAAGACTGGGAAGGAAATGAGGCATATTCATTGTATGACCACTTTTCTCTAGCAAGTGAAGAACAAAAATACAGGTAAGCTGAAAAATCAGATCTAATTAAAAAAAAAAATCTGATAGTAATCCTTCTAAACTGTGTACGTGCATGGCCTTATTTCATACAACTCATTACTATTTTCCAGTTCACTCAGAAAATGTTTTCTCCATTTTTCATCTCTTGCCTAAAAAAAAATTTCCAGAGGAGATGCCTGCAGTTACTATAAAATCCTGATTCCCTGCAATAAATACATTTCTGGAAGGTGGATGACTAAAATGAATTACACTGCAAGGATTTTCCTTGTCAGTGGCTTCTAGGAACTATTCTGTTCATAAAGTGCACACTGAGGTGATGTGGCCTTATCCTTCCATAAGTCATTGGCTTAGATTCTCAATAACTCTCCTGTGAATATGGAGCAAATGTGCATTTCACCCACCACTAACTTGTCAATCTAAACACCAAATTTTAATGGACCTATTTTTATGCTCTAATCCTGTAAAATGTAAAGCTGCACAATTTCTTCTTAATTCTTGGTTAAAATAAAAAATAATACAAATTTTAAATAAATATTTTATATAAATATTATCATAGTATTTGTTATACACTTTAAATAGTATCATAGTATTACACATTTTGAAATAGTGTCAACCACAGCTGAAATATAAGGGCAGTTCATAGCTCATTCACCAGGTTCTCGATAAATAGTTTGATTTATTATACAAGAAACTAAAGTCTTCACAGTATAACAGATGCTTTCCTACTACATGAAATGTTTCTTTGTAAGAGTCATACAAATTCATGGAGCTTTGGGTGACTGGACAGAAAAATTGTCTACATTTAGATGAATTTCTCCAAGATCTCTAGCAACTATTTGTTGTACATAAAGTCAACCCGACACCTGAGAGAACTGATGCTGTTATTTCAACTCATGTCTTATATGCAAACAAAGCAATTCAAAACTATCAGCATCTGCCCCCCACAAAACGTTAGATCTTAATGCCTTGGTAGTATTTAGTTGTCTCAATTCCAAAGTAAATATTTTTTCATCTGGAAACAGTCAGAATCTACAGCAGATTTTTTTTTTAAAGTAATGTTTTAAAATACTTAGAAAGGCAACTTTTGCAAAATGGATGATTACCCTTGTCCATTTACAATAGTAAAAGATACTTACTGAAAACTAAGATGGTAAAAGCAATTTTATTACAATATGCAATTAAAAAAGTAATTAATCATAAAGTGGAGTGGTTTAAAGAATATATTTAAATTATGAAAAAGAAAAAAACCCTAAGAAAGTATTCAGTTAAGAATATCTTCCGTGCCCCATCCCTGGCAGTGCTAAGGCCAGGCTGAATGGGGCTTTGAGCAACCTCATCTAGTGGAAGGTGTCCCTGCCCATGGCAAAGGGGTTGGATCTAGATAATCTTTAAGGTCTCTTCTAACTCAAACAATTCTATGATTCTGTGATCTATTGCATTAAAAAGATTAATACATTCTGAATGCTGGAAAGATTATGAGTTGGCCCAGAAACCTGAAATTTCTTCATATTAAACTGAGATCAGAATGGACTTTGTTTGAATCAAACTTCCTGATATCAAAGCTATGAAGTCAAACTAGGTTGCTCAGGGTTTTTCATTTGGATTTTGAAAACCTCCAGAGGTAGAGATGGCACAACCTACTTGTTTTACCTCAAGGTAAAAACTTTTTCTGATATCCAGTAAGAATGTCTCATTTCAATTTCCATCCACTTCCTCTCATCTTCTGTTATACTAAGCTGTACCTTAAAAAAATTATTATTAATCATAAGTAAATAATACTATGCTTATATTAGACTTCAGATGATATTTGAAGACCCAGCCTAGGCTAATATATTATACTTGGAACCTTAAAAATAATTTAGGTTAGAAATTGGCTTACATAATTTTGAACTCATCTTAAGAAACAACAGTGATTTTTTTAAAAGGTAATTTAAAGAAAATCTGTAATGAACTGATCCTTTGAAACCTAAATGAATAAAAATGAATTAATTATATTTTAAAATAGGGAATATAAAATGGGTTAAAATAATCTGTTAAACTACCGAAGACCATTACTATCATAAGCAGAAAATTATATGCAAGATATAAACCAATTGGGGAACAAGTTACTTATCCTCAGAGTTAGATATCCTCTTTAAACAAATAGAATACTTCTGAGAAACATAAGCTATTTGATACAGAAATGCAATCACTGAAAAGATACTGTGTGAGCAGAGGGTTCAAGTTCTCCCAATTCAAGGTAACACAGGAATAGTTGTGTAATTGTCCTGCCCAGTTTAGTGCCCCGTCTCTCCCTACTGAGACTGCACTGGCACCCATGCAAGCAGATCCCAACAGTAGCAGCCTCAGTGAAAGGCTTTATGTACCTTGCCAGGGAAATGAAGCAAACTGAAATACTTTTGATGAGCTAACAAAATTTATGAACAATGTGAAAAGGATGAGTAGTTAAGACAGTGGAAAGGGATATGAGAATACTGAGAAACTTCTAAAATATCATTCACTAGCTCATAATCAATACTCCTGGTAAGGCTGTTACCTCACATATAAATGAGGTTGTAATGCTAAATTGCTGTGTTGTATGAACAACAGAATAGGAATAAAAAGTTTTGGTTTAAATATTTGAATGTAATAAAAATAACTGCACGTACTATTGCACTGAAGAGCAACAATGCACTTTCAGTATTAACAAATGTATGATCTGTATGAAAAGCCTTAGAAGTTACTATCTACTTGCTCTCATTTTCTTCTATTATGACATGAACAAACACATGTTCATTAGAATATAGTGCTGACCATTTCTACTCGTATGAAAACATTGTGCTGAAAAACAGCTCACAGCAGTACATTGGCCAGAAGAGAATTAAACTACTTGAACAGGATATTTACTGCAAATTATTCCATCATTATTTTGCAGACAACTACCATCAACTTCCACATAATAATTGTTTTTCCATTTTTCACTTCTACAGGATTTACCTTAAAGGACTTACTGGGACAGCAGGCAAAATAAGTAGTATAAGCCAACCAGGAAATGATTTTAGCACAAAGGATGCAGACAATGACAAATGTATTTGCAAATGTTCACAAATGCTAACAGGAGGTACGAATGTTTTTATGTTTCTCAGTCTTCCTATTTTTATTGGCACTGAAATTGTCTATGAGATAGTGATAATTTTGACTTAGTAAATTTTGATCATTAAAAAAGTTCAACACTCATGGATAGATATACTAGTATAGTGACTCCAGATGAAATATTTTACCATTTGACAAAAGTTAGTTAAAATAAAACAAGAGAAGTTAAAACTGGAGGGAAAATAAGTGCCTGAAGTTGAGGTACAAGAAAGTCTGTAATTGTGGAACTAATCAGAGACAGCAGATTCCTCTTCTGAGGAATGAGGTACACTCAGAGATGAAAACACAACTCCCTGCAAAAACCCTCTTTCAGAGATTCAGCTTGTCAGTGAAATGGCTCCTGATTCTTTAGGCACAAGCCCTTTCCCTAACTACCCAAGGAAAAACCCCCAGGAACTCCTGGGTGCTGCAAGTGCAGCAGAAGGGTACAAGAATTTAATTCTGTATTTCAATATAGTTATGAAGTGATAAAGATATACCACAGATATATCTACACTTTTCTAATGATTTTTCACTAGTTATATTTGAATTCTAGGTGGTGTTTTTATCTTCAACTACACAAGTAATTCTATATAATTTGTTAATCTGGAATTCTACATTCTGAAATGTAAACAAGTGTCTTGTAAATTTGGCTTCTCTTCCTGTTATCTCTTAAGCAATTGTTCATTTTCCTATAGCACAGGCTGCAAGAAAAAAAGACAGCTTCAGTTTATCCAAAAGGATAGTTGGAGTACTGCCCTGCAAAACAGAACACACACACTATCGCCACCATAACAGAAATACAAAAATATTATTTTATTAATAAAAAGAATTTTTTATTATGACCTACTAACAGGTCAGGACTATAAAGATGCAAAATACATTTGGGCTGTTTTTTTCTCCTTTTCCTTCTTATGAAATTCCAGGAGGTCTTGAACTGACCTGCCCAGAGTACTGAATAATTCCTCTAGAAAAAATTAAGAAAGGAGTTTAAATGTGTGAAGAACAGGAGTTTGCCAAAGAGTAGATAAAACCAAAGGCAACTCAGTATTGTTATAGTTCAAGTTGTGTTCTGCCTTCAGACTGTGAGAAATGTTTGATGTGGATAATAAATTGATTGAACTTTCCCTTCTCAATTTTCAAATACAATATATTGCATAAGATTCAATAATATGTAGTTGATACATAAATACATTTCCTTCCTGAGTTTGGGGCAAGGATTTTATACTGACGCTTCCAAATCATAAGAACAAAAAACTGGGTTTAGTTTTCTTTCTCAGTTCCAGAAACAAAGTGACCTTAAATACTATTTTGAGAATTACTTCTGCTGATGTTTGTCTTCTGTCTTGCAGGATGGTGGTTTGACGCATGTGGTCCTTCTAACCTCAATGGAATGTATTATCCATTACGACAGAACAACAACAAGTTTAATGGGATCAAGTGGTACTACTGGAAGGGCTCAGGATACTCTCTCAAAGCTACAACTATGATGATTCGACCAGCAGATTTCTAAATGCTTTGTCTTTATGTGAATTATGTATTTTATAGTCTTCAAAGACTTATTTTACCAAGCAACTTGTCTCATTTTTTCAAGCCCAGAAACATGCACTAGTGTTCTGAAGGGGTCAGTTCAGTACAGTTCCTGAACTGCAATCGCTTTGACCAGCTAAAGCTCATATTATTCAACCAGACCTAAACTCTAAAGCATCACCTGATACAACAGTGATTTGGCCAAATGACTCAATAAAAAGAACCTCCAAGAAACCATCAGACAACTTAAGGACTCTGTTTTACTGACCATTTATGTTATGTATGTGTTAGTAAATAACTGGAACAGTGAAAAAAACCCTAAAATAGTTTTAGGAATATGCATTTTGCCTCACCACTGAACTTAAAACATTAATATAAAACACTGAGCTAGATCTAGAACTATTTATCTTTCTGTGTCATGTGTGCCCTTTATGTACATAAAAAAAAATATTCTGTAATTAGCTCAATCCTATACTTAGGGAATACATTCTTTTGCCCCATAGTCTCCTAAACAATTTCTTACACTTATTTGAGGATTTTTTTCCAATAGCCTATATGACGATGTTTAACTGAGGACAAATAGCATTTCAATAGTTTGCATTTATTTTTGGGAACTATCGTTTACAAATACCATAATTTTCTTCAGTCCATTTCAGTCACTGTCTTTAAATTACAGAAAATCCCTACAAATTACAATATAGCATGTATTCCTATACATTTTTATGAAGAATGCACTTTTTTTCTTCCCTTGTCATTTACCTATAAAATAACTGACCAGTATTTTATAAACTGAGACAACGGCATTAACACCAGATGTCTGGTTGTCTATGACAATCATTTATCACCTGGTGCTGTAATATATCTATATGTTTTGTAAAAATAACCTAACTGAAAAACATATGCATGTTCTTTGATACAATTAAATTTATGCTTGTGACTTAAGATATAAATGACTACATTTTAAGAACAGGAAGAAAAATAATCTGAAAATTATCTAAGGTCACACTAGGGTTTTCTTTCAGTAAAGTTAGGGCTCCTCCCTAAAAGTTCTCTGTAGGTAGGCCCTTAATGTATGCCACAATGTGAATAAATTACTCTACTAGGCGATCTTTGTTTTTTTTCTCCCCTTCATTTTATTACTATATGTTTTAAAACTGTGTACTAAACACTGTGAATCAGATTGAGAAGATGTTTCTTCATACATCACAATAATTTAGTGGAGGTTTTTCTCCAAATTAAGTTTAGCTTTTAATTCTCATGCTTATTCTTTGCCTAATATTTTTGTAAAACTTTGATTTCAGCAGTTGACTGAATTAGTTACAATGCATGAACTTAACCCAAAACAAAACAAAAATCCCGGACATGTTTCTGAAAGCTAACTTAACAAAAGGTATTTTAAGGGCAACAAGGATTGTGAAGGGTCTAAAAAAATATTGTATGAGGAGGGGGTGAGGGATCTGGGGTTGTTTAGATGGAGGAGGCTCAGGGGGCACCTCACTCCCTACAATCACCTGAAAGGAGATTGTAGTTAGGTGGGGTCTGGCTCCCCTTCTACTGTGCCAGCAGTGACAGGCCCAGAAGGAATGGCCTTAAGCTGAGAGAGGGGAGATTCAGATTAGATATTAGAAAAAAAAAAATTCATTTTTACAATGGTCAGGTATTGGAACAGGTTGCCCAGAGGTCATGAAGTCAGTATCCTTGGAGGTGTTCAAGAAGCATTTGGATCTGCTGGGTGATGTTTAGGGGTTATAGTGGAAGTGCTGGATAGACAGTTGGACTGGATGATCCTGTAGGTGTCGCCCAACCTTGATGATTCTATGGTTCAATCTTGAGAACAGTAAATTGTTTTGAGAATTGAGTTTTTGAGATAGTTTTGAGGAATAATAATTAAACAGTTTTGCGAAATGTTTTTTATATTGACAATCATTAAAGGTGCTGTCAGAGTACCCACCACTCACACCACCACCACCATTCTTCCATTCTTCAGTGAAAATCTGCCATTATTACTAAGTGTAACAGAGACAAGAAATATTTCTAATATTACTTCATGATCTGATTTTACATAAACCTAAAGACTGTAAATTAACAGTTTTATGGAACTCTTCAGTCACTGTCTGAAGAGTTCCATAAAATAATCTCAAATGTATTTGAAATTACTGTTTAGTATTTTATTGTTTTTCATAGCAAACTTGTAAGGATATACATATCCCAAACTAAAAAAAAAAAATACTTCCCAAATTGTTTTCATGAATTTCCAAGAAATGTCTTAGACAGCAAGGCTAGAAGAGAGGTCACACATACCAACAAACACACAGCATACCAAGAGAAGCCTAAAGAGTTGTCATCTTTCAGCCTAGAGGAGAAAAAGGGAAGGGGAGACCTTAATGGTACCTACAACAGCCTGACTGAAGACATAGGGAGGACAAAGCCAGACCCTTCTTGGAGGTGCTCTGCTATGGGACAAGAGACAGGGACAGCAGGCAGTAAATACAATTTGGAATTGGAGAAAGTGAATTTCGTTTTCATTTATTCATTTATTACCAGAAGGATGGATTGGACATGTCCCTTGGAGACCTGTGTTGACAACCTTCAGACGTCCCTGGTAATCTATAATACTTCAAGATTCTATGAAATTTAATAGAAATGCTGAGTCTACATTACTGCATTTCCTGTGTTGCTACATTTAATCAGACAACTAAAGAAAATACTCCCAACATTTGCGATATTAAACATATCGACACCAATAATAAAAGGAAAGAGAAATAAAAGCCAACAAAACAAACAAACAAAAGTCCTCCAAAATGTTCTCAAAAGCCATGATGGCATCTGAATGCTCAACCTGGCGAAGAAAAGCAGTGTTAACTTCTGGTTAACGCTAACTTTATTTTAGTAAGAAAACCCTGTATGACAAAAATAATTGAATATTGCATGGCTAGTCTTGATTTGTTGAAAAGTTTATAGAATCTGAAGCTTGCTGATGACTGTTCTGGGAAAGTAATCAAAAATACTGATGTAGACAATGAATGGATCAATTGTTTAATGAGACTTAATTTGGGGGCAAAAAAGATCAATTTATCAACACAAGTGTAAAATTTTAGAGTGTATATGTCTTTAAATGGCATTTCATCTAAAGAAGATTGCATGGCTTTAACTCCGAACACCACAGTGAAGCCACAGAAGGACATGTCAGAAGGAAGGCAAGAATAGGAAACAGAAGGCTGCAAAAGCTGCTTTGGACTTGGTACAAACAAGTAAAACATAACAGCAAGGTAACCCCTACTTTTAATTCCTTCCTGTAATCAAATAAACAGTATGTGAAACTAGAATGTACTTCCATTTTCTCTTAAGTACTTTTTAGGAAGCAGGAAAGAAAGAAGAAAAAAAAAGCAAATAAAAAAAACCATTCTGTATCAAATAATAATTGTATCTTAAAAAAAATAAGGTATCTGCTACAGTAAGAAATGAAGAGGGACTAAATAAGGGAATGATTGGAATGGTGATAGAAATATTGCCTTGGACTCCAACTTTGTTCCTTTGCAAGAACAGTACATTGCAAAAAGAAGTGATTCAGGTTCTTAGCACAACCCTAACTTCCCTCAATTTCCCATTCTCACCATCTCTCAAATTCTCCTTACTTCTGCTTCCAGAATAAAACCTCTAAATGGAGTCTCAAAAACAACCCCAAGAGGAAGCACTTCTAAACAATGCTTTGTACATTGTTACCGATAGCATACTTTGTAATCAAGATAGTCTGAAAAGAAACAGAAAATTCAAAGCAACTTAACATGAAATTCAGTGTAGATTTTTTCATAGAAATACAGAGAAGTGGAAAAAAGAACATGCTTCTTATTTATTTTTCACATTAAATTTTACAATTCTTACTATATTTGCTATATACCACAATCTACTTTCTAATTTTATTAAAAAAATATGAAATAATGGATAATTAATTTCTTTAGGGTTATTTGAGAATAACTGCTTCAGTTTCCCTAAACTTTGAGAACATACAACTTACAGTCATGAAATAAAGCTTCATGTTGAATATGTAAATTTACATTAGTTATAGATTTAGAAAGAATGCTAAACAGAAGTTCCTAACAGTTAATAAAATTACAGTAGAAATAAATTTCATACTCCATTAACTGTACTTTCTTCAAAGCCAGTATGAAACTTTGAGAAATAAATTGCAGACATTAATTTAGTGGAGGGAAAATTATTGGAATTATTGACTAGTAGCCAGCTAGGATTCAACTTTTTTTAAAACCAAAATAGAATTCCTGTTTAATAAATTACAGTACATGAAGTGCACTGAAGTCTACACAGGTACATCATGCCCCCACATTTCCTCTTTTGCACTAGTTCCCAATTCAGTACTTGAGAATGATTATTAGAGGCAGGAAAAATACTTCATTTTTTCCAGCTTAGTAGTTCTAGAAGACCATAGTAATTTTCCATTGCCCAAGTAATTTCTGGGCCAAAAAAATTGAGTCCCTGACCTGCAGATCTTTCCATTTGGCAATAATATGCCCCTCCAGTTTGTATACAGGTACAGAAAGAAATAAAATTAAAGTGTATTTATACTTCAGTAAGATGCTGGTTTATTAAGGTGTTAATTAGTGAACCAATATTTTGCATTTTCCACATGTACCAAAGGTTTTGCATACATTTCAAAAAATAGTGAAGAAGAAAATAATTCCTTGCAGTATCTGCTTTAAAAAATATTTTTCTAGTAGGCTTTCTTATTCGCAAAACCTATTTAGAGGGAAAATAATTTCCCAGATAAACAAAAGAAGGTTCACAAGCTTAAAGGACCATTAAACTTACAGGAGCTGCAGGGAAGCTGGATGAAAGTTCATATGGTTCCTCTGAGATCCAGTGGCCTAATTCCAAAGACCACAGAACCTAAAATAAAATAAGTGGTAAGCAGAATCTTAAAATTTCTAAAATAAACTTTTTGAATGTGTAATTAGAAGTGAAAGTGCTGTTAGAATAGCTGGTTTGCTATTTCATTTATCCAAACCAAATGATTTGCTGAAAAATCAATAAATCAGAAAGATACAAATTTTACAACTAAAACAAACCATTGAAATATCAGTCAGTACTTCTACGCATAGCTATATTAGTTTAAAACACTGTGAGGATATTAGAAACTTCAACTATTTTTAATCACATATTGCAGAGCAAAAATTTGAAAATGGAAGTTACAATATATGAGTTCTGTTCTCTCAGTTCAGTAATCATTGAATTTCATGAAGTTTCTGTTGGCTTATTTCTCCAGCTTGTCAAAGTCCATCTGAACAGAAACACCCATCTGGCATATCAAACACTCCTCACAGTTTTCTGTTTCTCTCACATCTGCAAATTTGCTGAGGGCGCATTCTTCCCCATCATCCAACTCATAAATGAAGATGTCAAACAGTACTGGACCCCTACTACTACAAGGATTATGCAACTATTGCATAAAATGCACATTATATATATAAATCATCCTGCAAAGAAGAATAATTCAATTTCTTTCTCTGTGGTATCCTCCTTTGTCAGTGTCATATGTTAGAGCACAAAAAAAGACTGCAGAACACTAACTCTCTAGAAAATACATAATCATTTGTGTTCAACTGAGCTCTGAAACACTGGATCAATACCATCTTTAGAGACTAGTAACCCTAAAACTGTGGCCCACTTGCAGACTTCTGCTCCCGTCAGGATCAGCGCCAACTGGTTACCAACTTAAAATGGTTGTATTTCCAATTTCTGAAATACAGTATTATAATTTTTTTTTTTTTTTTGGTAAAACTTTCCATCCAAACTACTCCATCCAGCATTTTTTATGGATTGATTTTCTAAGCATTTTTCAGAACAATTTATCATAACTTGCAGTTGGTTTACTATAATATTAGAAGCTGCATGGGAGAGTATTCAAATACTATCCCTCAATTCTTAAAAGCATTGTCTTAATGGGAAAATGGAAAAAGATAAAGTTCCTACATTGGCTACGCCCTTGAGTCATATAAAGAACATTCTACTCCTAATTTGTAGACAGTCTAAATTCTGAAGCCCATTCTGATGGAAGATGAGATTCTTTTCCTTATTGGTTTTATAAGTGATGAGCCATGAAGCTTCTCACAGAGGTAAAACACAGATCTTTGACAAGTTTCTTCACTGTCACTCAATTCAACAACTTTTCCCCTTCACAGGTATATAAGCTTCACAATGTCTCTTCTGTAGCTGCCATCTGGCACCCTTAAGTTCAAAAAAAGTAATGTTACTAACCACTGAGACATCCTGTTGCTCCCAGAGCAAGTGAAGCTAACTGAACAAGCACAAATATACACAAAACGAGATATGTGGAATTTATCAGAAAGGCAACCCCTGTCTTAGGCTAATTCTACCTCTCTCATATTTTCCCTTAATAGCTCTCTAGCAATTTCAAATAGATGGAGACATTAGCACAGCCATGCACTATTAAACAGTTGTCATTATTCATCTCAGAACTAGCTGAATTTCATCAGTGTCTGAAATTATTCCCATGCTTGATTCACAATAACTAAAATACTCTGCCATACAAGTGCATATATTATTAGTTTTAATTTAGATGATAAAATTCTCCCTTTTAAAATTGTAAACAAGTCTATGAAATATTTCCCATACATAAAAACTGGCATTATATATACTGAGTGTAGTAAAGTTATCCTTTACAATGTTACAGCTCACAAATGGAAAATTCTAAGCTGAACAAATTGATCATAAACTAGCAATGTAAACCTTATAAAATGACCTAATTGCATGTAAGAAAATAAGTTTCTGTAAAGAACTCTTTTGCCCTAAAACTGTTGCTACAAGTAGTAAATTGTAAATTCAGTTTTCATAACAAAATTATTTTCTCAATAAGTTCTGTAGTTTTCAGTCCAAAGTATCTTATGCCTGATTACTTCCAGGGAAACCAACAACATCTAATGTGAACTTCTACAAAAGCTGCTGCCTTGTGCGAAGTGACAAATGATGTTTGACTTGTGAGGAGAGGTATCAAATTTTTCAGGCTCTTGTAAATGAAGAGTGATTTTTTTGCTGACAATAAAAAGCAGCATATCCTTAGACTTATTGCTAAACTTGATTATAAAACATCCAAAGAATATTATGTTTACTTTTAGAAAAAGAACAATCAAATATTTGAAAATGCTACAGCTGTGCAAAAAGAGAAAATAATTTCTACAGCCTTTATATTATACCAAACATAAAAATAAGAGTTAATCTCATTAATAAATCAATGACCTTTAAAAAATATTCAAAACCTAATAATGCATTGCAGTGTTCAGCTAAGTATTGTAACTTCTTAAAAAAATACAGTTAAGACTGCAACTTAGGATTGTAAGTTATAAATTTTAGGGTGGTACCTCTGCATAGTTTTTACAACTACTTTTAACAATTTACACTAAAAATATCAAAGCCTCTTAGCTTAAAACTTATAGCTGCATATATTTATTGAATGTAAAAGAAACTTGTTAATGTAATTTCCCTTAATCACAATATAAATCAACTTTAACTGAACCAAGAAAATTGTAACTTTGAATAAAATTCAGAGACATACAACATTAGAAGAAATTCTTCATAAATAAACTTGAGCAGGAACAGATGTGCTGTGCTGTATTACATATACATCACGTCCTTATAATACCAAAATTATGTTTGTATCAAAAGTAGCTGGAAAACAACTGAAATAGATTAAAATATAAACCCAAAAGATTAGTTATGATTAAGTAATCCTATTTCATTTTCCAGGCCAATTCTACAGCAATGACCTTTATCAACCCTTGTAGTATTTACAGAATTTTGTTTAGAAATGTAATTTGTTTGTCTTAACAAAAGATGGATTAATGCTTGTCTATCATGGTTCTGGAATTGAGTACAAAGGCATCATATCTACTTTCCTAGATAAAAAGAAAATTGGATAGTGAGTTCATGAACAGGTCCTGCAGTAAATAATTAGGTCACCATTCACTAAAACATTCAGTTTTCATGAAAACAAAGACAAGAGCTTTCCATTCCAAATCACTGAAAGTTTGCTTCTGACTGGCAGTTTTTCAAGCAGTTTTATTTTCAAAGCAACACCAAAAAATTCTTTAGATTCATGCAATTTAAAAAGTTATGATTTGCAATACTATTCTTAGCTGAAATACTTCAGAATGTGTGTTTCTGTTGAGAAGAAAGAGCTATCTAGAAGTTTTCAACTGTGCAGTTACAAAAGAGTTAGCTCAATGGGTCTGAAAACACCCTACTTGATTAGTTATTATTTAAGATCTCCCACCTATCCAGCTAGCACACTGAATGATCATATGGTATCTGTACTTGAATAATTCATCTTGAAAATGTAAATGGAGTGCTATGAAGATTAAATGTCTGATGGTAAATTTGGTAGTTCTCCAGCATCCATCTCTAAAAATAATATTTTTAGTTTTTCTTAGGAAAAAAACCACTTCAGCATAAATTATGTCCACATTACGAATCAAAAGGCAGCGGTAAATAGCTTCTTCAAATGCTGATAAACATTTTCCAAAAGAAATCATCACTGCTTAAAAGTAATACCATGTTTATAAGGTACTGCAAATTTTTTCCAGATTGATTATTTTAATTATCCAATTTGAACTATTTTATCAGTAAAAATACTAATGGTAGGATTGATTACATTTAAAGAATTCAGTTATGTAGCATCAATAAAAGGAGAAAATTATTTTCCACTGAATTCCTCATTCTGGCTAGGTAAGGCTTCAGTTTTCTCTTCCGTAGTTAACCAGTTTGGGTAAAAAGATGGCAAAAGTATGCTACTGACACAATATCAAATAAGACAATAATGCTCTTATATTATATGATTCAATGATTTAACCAGGTGAAGAAATTTTTTTTTAAAAAGTTCAAAGCACTGTTTTATTTCAGCTAAACAAACAAACAAACAAATAAATAGAGGGAATACACATTTATGGGCAAAGTTAGACCCAGTCTCTGTGAATGAGATAAGCACAGTTCTAAAAATATTTAGAACAGCAATCTTTCAGATAAGCAGATACTAAAAGATCAAACAAACTTTTGATTTGAAGATCTGAAGTTTGTCTCTAGTTCTTTCTCATGTGCCTCTCCTAGTAACTTCAGAATTTTGTCTAAATAGCAGCTTAATAAAATGAGTGAAAACAGCATCAGGATTTGATCCAATAACATCTACAGCGACAAACTAATACTTGGAACAATTTCATTCAACTTATTGGTATTATATGAGGGATATAGATGATCCCATGAAGAGTCTACAAGGTAGACCATAAGACAGGAGGACAACATTTTCAATCAATACTGGTCTGTGAAGAGCATAGGCAGATATTTTCACCATGCCTTCGTTCACAGAAGTGCAAGGCATAAAATGGGCAATGAAATTTTAGAGCAGCACTTGCAGGAATGCTAATTATCCAATACTGCCTCACGTACAAAAACAGGAATCTATTTTGTAGTACTTATCTGTATCTCTAGCTATCTTAGCAGTTTTTTGAAGCTTTTTCTCAAGGAAGAATGCATCTTTCATGTTTGAGCACCCTGTTATGAAAAAGTAACTTGTGACAATTATGTTGTGACTTGTTTAAAGCTCCATACAAAGCTAAGTGTGGGACAGATAATTCAGTGTATTCAACTAATAGATGCAAGGAATCCTATAGAAGGCTGGCATGAGTCTGTGGAGATGTTCTTCTCCAAACCCTCTGCTCAAATATGTTCCTCTTAATGCAGCCAAGGATGCTATTAGTCTTCTTTTGCCAAAAAGGCACATTACTGGATGCTAAAGGTGACCAAAGATGCAAAGCCTCTATTTCAAGGGAAATTAATCATAAAGAACTTCTGAAAAACCTGCAGTCTATCACAGCAACATCAGATAACTGCATATATATCATATAGGACAAGCTTCATACTGGTAAGTGCCAGACATCTTGAAAAACAAAAGGCAGCAGTTTATTTTCTGCCCAACAAGTAAATTTTAAAGTATTTGTAAGAAAGAGGAAACAAAGAAATTTAGTTATTCAATAACCCTTTTCTGTATAAAATGAAGAGATATTTCCATAAAAATTTCAACATCTATGTTTTACAGCTCTGGAAGCATGAGGAAAGCTGAGAAACTGTCATCTGCAATGTTAGATTGAGTGGTTAATCTTTATTATTACAGTGAGCAGTTGAGATGGTTTAAGCTTGGGCTGACAGATAAGTTCCCCACCCAGTCACTACTATTTCTATTTGACATTTTTCCCACTTGCAGTGAAATATCCAAGAATTTCCCTTAATTTTTACTAATTTTTACACAATACATGTTTCAGAACATAACATAAATATATCAGGACATAAAAAGTTCAGTCTGAATAATGTGAGTTGACTAATGTTGAGCAGAAATTAATCTGTCCAAAAATAATGTATGGGACATGAGTTTCTCATCCATGAGATCAGTCCTTGGACCTTCCTAAAATAGATAATGGGGTACAAGACAGGAATACTTTGGTTAAAGTAAGCACTGAAAAACTGCAACAAACTAACAGATCTTCACAAAGACAAATTTCATCTAACTGAACTAACTCTAAGTAAGTCTGAATAAGTTAAAATTGGCATTATTGCATGTAATGTGGGCACAAGCATGACTGGTATTTCACCTATACAAACTAAATTTAATTTATTGTTTAGTAAAGTTAAAAAGCATTTCTTACCCATTCATAAGAAACAATCCAACAGCCACGAGCAATTCCCAGCATAACATTCAAGGTACGACGAGGACTCCCAGTAACTACATGACTTGTTGTTTCACACACTGCATTTGACAACAAAAAGTCTCCAAGTTTATTCACAATCTGTATTACTGTATTTTCCTTCCTAAAAAGAAGAAAAGGTAAAAAATCCCATGCAATATTGAATGGAGGAAGGCAGAATTATAAAAGCATATATGCACAACACAAATTAATTCAAATTCACCTCATTTCTTTCCCTACTAAACATTTTTTATCCTTTTCTCACTAAGTCTTCTACCCACTTGCTAGCCTTACATTCATTAGCCTCTTCAGAGTCCAAACAGACCCTTTTACATTATCACAAAACCACATCTACTTGCAGATCAAAGCCCTTTAGCCCCTCACATCTATCTTTTTAAAATAAAAGCTTTTGAAAGCACAATTATCTATTAAGTTGTTTGTGCCCAACACAACAGATTTAGACACAGCACATTTAACAGTTTTTCATTAGGAAACACCAAATTTTTAGCATCTGAATAATGCTGTGTCTAAATCTAGAGAGAAGCCATAAAGTTCTATCTGGCTTTCTACCTACATATCTATGCCAATGTTTCAATTAAAAATTCACTTATCTTTAAATACAATTATAATGAAATATATATAAAATAAGATCTAAAGTCCAGAATGGTCATCCATAACTGGAATTCTAATTTTGAATTTCTAATTTGAGCTCTCTACATAGCTACACAGGAGCACATAAATATATAATTATGAAAAAAGGAAGATCTTGGTATCACTAGAGAAAAGTTGTTGCATGATAATAATTTACTGCTTTTATTAATGATTACTTTACAATTATAAATGATCCTTAAATACCTTTAAATGAAAGCAAAATTCTGGTGGCCTCTCTGCTCCTCACACTAACTTGGAAATGTCCATGCAACACAAGGCACAACCTTGAACACAGTCACACCTATCACAGTGGTGATCCGTTAAGGCAGAACTTGTGAGTTAATCGCACACACAATGCAAGTGCACTCAGAGCATCTCCAGAAGCCTCTGGGGTTGCTTTGTTCTCACTACATTTAACTCCACAGAAAGGAAGTCTCTTAAAACTCCCAAAATATCCCAGCTAAAACAAACATTACTTAGCAGAATCCAAATGAAACTGCAAAAAAAATTCTTACAAAAATTGGAGCAATCTGTTTTTCAAGAAGTTTATAACAAAAAAATTAATAGTGAAAGCAGTGCAGCAAATTAATCTCATAATAAAATCAAAAGGTGATATTGTATGTTGAGACACTTAAAAAAAATCCTATGACTAACCCTCTCTCCAGTATGAATTCTGGCCTTGGCTATATAGCTTTGATTGTTACTAGAATTCTTAGTATTCCCTCTTCATTTTATGAGCTTTAGCTTGATATACAAGTGAATGTTTTTGCAACATTGCAACCCATACGGGCTGGCCTTGCCCGGACTGCATACGCTCCATGCTTTAAGTGAACCTTTTCTAAGTTCTTCCTGTGTCTATACAAAATTCCTTACAAGGAGAAGAAAAAATTCTGTTGTACAAGTCTTGAATCGAAGACATCTTACAAACTGCATGCAACTTACCAGTTTCTACTTGAGGTAGCTGCAAAAAATTGGTGGATGAAAATTTACAGCAAAATTTCACTGAATTTTTAAATCAGAAAATTAGCTGTGTGGCTGTGAATCAGTGAGCAGCATCTAATATCACTGCAAAACCCAATGCCATGAAACCATTGAATTCATGCACCTTAAAATGTAAATTCTACTGAACCACTTTTGAGGCTATAGTTACTGGGTAGTAGAATTGGATTTTGACCACAGGGTTGTGTTTTGGAGGAGTGTTTTCTGTTCTTTAGTTGTTTCAGAAGGAGTCCTTTTCCCTTCACCCATTTACATGCAGATGAATGCCTACAATTGCAGTCAGCCAAAAGCAGTCTTGATGGTAAGGTTCTGAAGAAAAGCAATTGTTATCCCCCAACAATTTAATTTAATGAAACAGTAATTGGGTAGTGGGGAAGTCAACATATAAGAACATGAAAGAAATAATATATTAATGACCTCTTTAAAAACAAAATAAATTCCCCAGCTCATCCAGCATTTATTCTCCTGTTTCAGGTAGACCACAGCCTCTGTTTTCCCCTTCTATCTGCACTGTAGTGGTGATCTTTACCTCCTCCACAGTGATTCTGCATTGTGCATGACTTTTATAGTTCTGGTGTTACTAGCATCCAGTCACATCAAATAGAAGAACAATATTAATTCCGTTTAATGTTTCTGACATATATAAGTACACTTGTTAACAGCTATTGAAAACCTTTTACAAAAACTTCTGAAAGCATAGCCACTAAGTGCTGTTTCTGAGTATATATTTCCATGTAACTGTCAACATTTAGCTACATCAAACCTGAAACAGATTTTTGGGTAGTATAAATATCTGGACTTTTGAAAAAGAATTCAAAAACTGTAAGCAAGTGTAGTATAAAATATGGAATCATGTTTTTGTTGGATGTTCCTTACGCTTTAAGACTTTTAAGAGAATGATAAGAGCATGCCAGAAAATTATTAACTCTCCCCCAAAATATGCAGTGGCAGCTGCTTCTGATGTTTTGAAACTAAGTCACTAAAAAGCCTACAACTGATATTTATTCTGCAACTATTCGTATGAAATAAAACATTTTAAACTGATGTTTCAGGTTATGACTTTTTAAATAGAAATAATTAAAATGTATGGCAAAAAGCCTGTGCTGGGCTGAACCATTTACCACATACAACTATTCACATTTCCTTCAGATAAATTCAAAACTTGCTTAAAATTTTACTTTTATTGCTCTGAAGCCCTTTTGAACTCACCTATGGATCTACTTCAGTCTCCACCACAGCAACAAAGACATACATATACAGTACAAATAACAACTACATATACATGTATGAACAAGTTTATAGCTAGAATACAGAATGAAATAAAGTGCAGAACCCAAAGTTAAATTTTACTTTCTGTAGGCATAAAAAAAATATCAACATTGAAATTTAAATGGTGGGCTGACTAAATAGTCAAAATGGTTAATACTTACTCAGAAGACATACTTGTCATAACTAGTGTCCTTGTTAGCTAGAGACATGAAAGAAACAAGAAAACATCAAAAATCTGGAAAAAAAACATTTGAAAAAACCCCTTAAATTAGAAAATGTTATGTTAAAAGGTGCAGACTACTTCACAACTATAATATCACCTGAGGAAGAGGCTGTACTAATTAACACATATACTAGAAATACTAAACTTTGATAGCATGGAAGGAAGGAAAACCCTTCAATCATGTTTTATGTCACAGCAAACGATACAGAAGACAGGAATGTAAGCTTTTTTTAGAAAAAATAAAATGCAAAGGATTTCCAACCTGAGTTGCCACAGAAATAAAAACAGTACTGGTCTACTAACTTTTCATCAGATGGAAAGGAAAAGGCAGCTTACCCACAACAAAGAAAACCTATTATTTAAAATTCCAGTTTCTTCCTAAAGAAAGGTAGAAACTGTCTGGGACACATGAGAAACAAGAAGTATAATTTTAATTATTTTGTTTTTATTTTGATAGTGTATTTTTGGGAGTTCTTGGCACATTTTCAGTATTTTATGTCAAGGTTAAATAAACATTCTTTCATTCTTCAGTATTTTCTACTGAATAAAAGTTGTGCAAGTAATATCACACACAGGGTATACTCAAAGAATACGGCAATACTCAAATCAGCTACTCTGAGACACCTTAAAAAGCACCCCTCCCTTCTGCAATACTCCCCATAGCTTACGTGAGAAGCAGGAATGTTTGCCCCATACGGACTTCAAATAAGCTTGGGAAGAATTATTATTACAGAGGTCAGAAGAGGAGGAAGTTCATCACCACTGACCATTGAAAGCCTCCAGTATGCACAAAGGTGGGAGAGGACATGAATTTTAGCAGAATCAGAGAAATATATAACTACATAGAATATGGACTATGTCAAAAAACATATGTACAAAGAGATTTTGATCATCTTAGCTAAGAATTACTTGTAGCTACATAAACATGCATAAATATATATACACACAAACATTTTAATTCTGTAGAAAAAGCAGACTGACTCAATTTTATACAATGATTTCAAAAAACTACTTCTAATTTTCAAAATCAGTATATGAATTTAAATTATTTCTCCATATAGCTACTGCTCCATATGAAATACTAACTTCCACTTCTGCCACCAAACAACCACAAGTAGTAAGCTCCCAAAGTCTCTACTAAAATTCAGTTTCTTTTGAGTAATGCTCTGAGTTAAGAGTACAAAAATATTTTGAACTGGGAGCACAGGCAAAAAAAATATTCCAGGGCAACTCGTTTTACCCAGTAATGAATCAAAAAGGAACAGAAGAGAGAAATCTGATGCAATTCCTTCTCACCTCTGTTATCAGCACAGAACAGTTCTCTATCCAAGTAATTTTTCACATTTAAGGAAAGAGTTGGAATTACCTGTGTAGACTATTAGACTAATAGAATGTAGACTAATAATGCGCACCATGACTGTTCATTATATGAACACTCTTTGCATAGAGCACAATTTAGATACCACTGACAAATTAGATTAAAGATAACACAAGTAGTAGTCATTTCAACATACATATGGTAATTTCATTCTGTGGTTGTGTACATTTAAAAAACACAAAATCCAGATACTATTTAAATCTTAAGAAGTAACATAATGCAGCATATTTAATAATTTTTAAAATTCATGATAAACATGCACTCAGAACACACTATGTAAGCTCTACAATACTTCAAACTGACTACGTATACACTGTGAAAATATAAACCCAAATAACAATAAAACAGAACAAAAATTCAAAAGAAAAAAAGGATAAAACTTTTGCATTGAAATATTTGAAAGAAATTCGACGCAGTATTTTTGGAAATACAAGTTTCCAAATACTAACTTGTTGCCAGCAATACTTACTGATGATGTCTTACTCTACTGCTAGCCTGACAACTGAAAAGAATATACACTTATCTTGATCAAATTTAGTTCTATTCTTAGACAAAAGAATTTCTACTGCATTACTTCCAACTCCAACCAAGCAGTCACATTTAATTGCTCTTGGAAGTTCCAACTCGATTCTACACTGGAGTTTTATATGTAAAAAATTTGTGCAAAAATAATGACACTGCAACAATATACATCAAATATATCTATCATAACATGAATATATTAGTATTAAGTTACATACATTCAAAATTTGAGAATAAGTACTCAAAGAAGATTTCTAGTAACACACTGAGTAAGGGTTCTTGTGGCAAAAGCACTGCACAGGTTAGGTCAGATAATTAAAATCAGATGTGAAGCCACATTATTATGAGTATATGTCTCATACTGTCTTAATACACATTGCAGGATCTCCATAAATTCATGAGATTAAAGGATTCTGGGATGGAGCAGCCTAGGAAGGCAAAAGACAGGGCTTAAAAACAAGGTTTTGCTTTGCCCTGTCTAGTCTTTCTGGGTGGAAAAACTCATCTATATCAAATGCTTATGTTTCAGGACAGTCATGATATTCTCCTAGACTACCGGAAGCCAGGCCTCATTGCCATCACACTCAAGCTCCTTGGCTGAAAGTCTGGAGTTAAATCCACACAGAGCAATTATACTAGGTTCTTGAGAGTAGTATTAGCTCTAAAGTAGATCCTCATGCGTCAGTTCAGAAAAATATCCTTCCTTGCAATTTTTTTTATAAATGTTATTGAAGTGTAACTAATCACACTACTATTTTTGCCAAACTTGAGTTAAAAAGAAGCCATACTATAAACCAAGGCCAGTGCAGCTTGAGATCCTGCAGCTGCTTCTTCAGCTTCAGAGCAGAAATTTTAACAGTCCCTTAATACCTTGCCTATAGGTAAGTAAAAATACTGGATCCACACAAATCAGGAAATTACAGCCTGTCCTGACCTTACCCTGCAAGGTCAGTTTTTGAATTATAGCTTTTATGCTACAACACATCATGTACATGACGCAGTGAGTATTCTGAACAAATGTCTTGTCAGTGTACTTAGAAATGGTTCAAAGACTCAAGAATGCAGAAGGGTACACACAAAATGTAAAAATGGGAAATAAATTTAATTTCTTCCAGGCTATTATTTCATTTGCATTCAGAACTGCATATTTTTGCAAGTTAAAGGTCATTTGCTAAGCAGACAATATTTTGTTTTATTGCTTCAGTAAGACAAGCAGCTCTCTTTAATTACAGTAACCAAGTGGAAAACTTAGCCAAACTATGTTCTAATTTTCAGTTCTACATTTTTCAAGTTAATTGCTTTCTCCCCCACCCCCTACTATGCAATTTTTCTTCTGTGCTTTTTTGTGTCTGTTTTATTTTACGTGTTACTTTTATTGGAAAAAAAAAAGTTAGCATTTTCTTTTCTGACCAGCAAAAAGACATCTGGTGAGCATCATTATGAGTTCTAATGCATGTTTTTAGCAGGATTATTATTAATATAACACTGGAAAAGGTGGTATTAAGTTAACTGTCCCTTTTATTTACCATTAATCTCTGAGTCCTGAAGAGTTGTATACCCATACTCTGAATCAGAGCACACACTTCTTTCTGAATTATTTTTGAAGTCTGCAATACAGACTTCATTATAATTGACAGCTTCAGCTTTCCATTATATATTTCTTAGAAGCACAGTTGCATTAAGTATTTCTTTAGTGTCTGCCAACAACAAGGTTTTTCAAAGTCATCTGAAATACAGAACATTCATTTCAGTAGCTAGAAGGAAACGGTATTGTAAATCTCCCCAGTGCTTAAAAGTGATACCTCCTATATGTTAACTGATCTACAGCACAAAAGAGGTATCCAACCTCAAAATGTGTTCTTTCTCTCGTCTAAGTTTGAGCTGATGTTTCTTGGAGATGAAGAAGAAAAAAGCTGGAAGAAAAAAGCCCTGTTTTGTACAAGCTGCTTTTCAAGAAGGTGAATTCAAACTTTGCTTTGTTAAGCATGTCATGAGTTCTTTTTTGTAAGTGACAAATGAATGAAAATGAGACCATAAAATGTTTTTCCAGATTAGTTCTCATGAATAAAGTGTACTCATGCAAATAATTAATTTGATAGGAATAGGTTTATATTTGTCACTGATTAAATTCCAGCCTGTCTATATTAGATCTCATTTTGTCTTTGTATCAAGAACCCAGGTCTCAAATATTTTTCAAGAAACTATTTCAAGTAAAGTACTTTTAAATTGTGTATTACTTAGTCCCAGTGGTCCTCTTGTGCCTTAGAGTTGACTGAAGTTCTGAAAGAAATAAGCCTCAGAGTAGTCTCAAACTCAGATACAAGTTTTAGTGGAGTGAAAGAAGATCTTCAACTTCAGGACTCAACAAGATACCCCAGGTGGTTTGGCCAATATACAAGGGATAAAGAACTTTTGGAGGGTGGGAGGCAGGTAGGAAAAAACCAGTGCATGTATGAGCAAAGAAAGTTTAAGGGAGAGTATATTATACTATCTGTTTTATAATCTTCAAATCCCTTTCTTCTCTGGCTATTGTACGTCCATTATATGCTTTTGTAATTGGTTTAGTACCCTTATACTCAATTTTGATCTTTACAACTGCATTTCAGAATCAATAATCTTCAGTCTTATTAGCATATGAACCAAAAGACAGATCTGTAGGTGGCATAGGAATATTAATCAGGTTAATTTCACTCTACTTGTATTTAAGAAGCATCTGAGGTTGCAATGCAAGATGTAACCAGGACTATGTATTATTCTATTACCATCTGTTAAAACCAGGTTGGGGCAGTGTTCTTTATCTCTTCCAGGACCCATCCTCCTTCCAGGGGGATCTCTTCTGTTAATGGGCCACTGAGTCTCACTGCATGACTGATAAAATTCCATCATCCCATTGTGAGCTGCTCCACGCAGGGGGAGGAGCAAAGCATTCCGACCTGGATATAATCTGAGACTTAGAACACCACAGTCAGACTTTTTCCACTAGATTCACAAAAATCCCCAGACCGTTCTATATCAGCACAACCTTCAAAAGAAAACTACACCCTTCCGCAAAATCACTGCTTCAACAAAATCACGT